ACAAAGAACCCAAAGTCACACGTGTTACCACCTGCCCTGAACAGTTAGGTACAGACATTGCCCTCCCCTTAGCACTGGGGTAGGATAATTTAAAAAAACTTCCCTGCCACTTATCTCCCTAGTAGGCAGTGTGCATGTCACGAAAATAAAATTCTCCCCTTAAAAAGCATCCTGATGGCCTGAAACAATGACCAAGCTAACAGAGCCAGGAGTCACAACTTTTTTTTTCTTTCTTTTTTTTAATTTAAGAGCCATCGCCTTGCTGGTTGGTTCGAGCGCCCTCATGTGTCTCAACAGAGTAACGTCACTTTAGGCCTTCCGGAGGGCTAGAGGTAACGACAGATTCAATGACACACAGTAACCTCTTCATCCCGTTTCAGGCACCTCTTGTGAAACGAAAGATTTTCAGATTGCCCCTAGGACTATGAATTTGTCCTCCCTGATGTAAAGTGACATCGTAACTTGTACCTGGAAGAACGAACGGGAAGCCGAGGTTCACAGAAGCGGAGGCTAATTTCAACTTCTTGCCTGTTCTGGTTTGAACATGTTAGGTCATCCTGCTTATTTCTTTTTCCTCCCCCCAACCCAGACCGAGGGGCAGAGCTCTAAGCCTGCATACCCCCTCCTCCAATGCGGGGCTCGCACAACTGAAGAACCCAGGGCTGCCTCTATATTAAGCAAATCTCAGGAGACCTAGCTCCATCTTCCACTCTATGACCAAGGGCTAAGCCTTTCTTCTCTCTGGGTCTTGGGCTCTTCCTCTGGGAAGAGAGGATAGTGGTTCATTTCTCACAGATAAGAAGCATCTGCAGAAATGCCTGGCAGAGAGTAGATAGGCACCCAGTAAATGTTAATTGAATGCAAACCTACAAACTCTCACACATACCTTGCCACTTTGTCTTCCTTTTCCTTCTCCTTCTTTTCCTTAAGGTTCGGAAGGCATGACTCAACATTCCAACCATACAGTCAGGCCCAGAATTCCCAAAGCAGAATAACAATGATGCCCCAACCTTGGTCACTATGGCAGACCCGCCTTGATGGGTCTAGCACTCTGTTAACAACAAAAGAAAGATTTATCAAGAAACCATGCTCCCGGGTTCCTCTCACCAATTCACCATTAGCCATTCACCACTTAGCTTTAAGCTAGCCAAATCCAGCAAAGCTCCAGAGATTTTTGGCTTAATCTTCTCACTGAACTCACGCCAGCCTTGCACGGGCACAGCCAGGGCATCATCACCCAGCCTTAGGTGTTGGCAGATTCTCCCACCCACCTCTTTGCACTTTCCCTGCTCAGGGGCAATAGCAAAGCGTCCCCTCTCCTCCCCCCCCACTGCACCTGGGGCGCCTCCAGCTCACAAAGGCTGGGCTGGGGAAGATGTCTCATCTACTGGAAATATAGTCAAGTCCTCTGTTAGGTAAGCCTACTGCTTTAACAGAAGCCAGAAAGTGCCTGACCAACAGACGTGCTCCATATATCTTGTCAACTATAAACATCATAACCAGTGAAAGGGGAAGGAAACACCCTGATGTATATTGCCCCCATTACCATTAAAGTAGGAGACAGGTTTTTTCCCCCCAAGAGAAGTTCGTGAAATAATTGATAATTTCCATTTTATTTAAAATAGCTTGTCCTTTCCTACTGCTACCATCACTGTCCAGGGCCTTATCAACACGAACATATTACTAACTGGTCTTATAACCTCCATTCATTTCTCCCTTCCAATCGTCGTAAGTATGATCAAAAGATCTTCCCCAAACACTGACTTCAACACATTCTTTAACAATTCCTACTTAAGAAGGCTTGCTGACTCCCTGTTGCTTGCAGGACAAAATTCGAGCCCTGAAATCTGCTATTCAGACTCCCCCTATTGTCTCCTACCACCCCGGAGAAGTTACAAAAGAACCAGACATCACCTCCAGAGTTCCAGACTCTTACACCTCCAGACTCTTACATCACTGCTATATCCAAATCCAAGACGAGAACACGATGACTGTGGACCCTCAGATATCCTTGAACTGAAATCTAAGTAGAAAGGCCCAGTGTCAACTTCACAACTTTTCCTCTTTGGAAAGAGACTTTACCTTGGGCGTTTCCACTTAGACTCCGGTTCCCTCCTTTGACATTCAAGAATGTCAGAGATGGGAATGATCTGATGCCCCCCACCCCCACCCCGCCCGGCCCCCCGCCCCAGTTACATTCGCACCAGTGCGGCAGGCTGCTGTTGGATTTCTTCAGAGGATAGCTTATCTGTCCTTGTGAAACACTTCACACAGCCGGCAATGAACCTCCAGGCACGTGATAATCAATGAGTAAAATAAGAAGGAACAATAAATCAACATCAGAGGAATCACAAAACACATCCAGACACTTGTGGGACATTCTGTTCTGGTGGCCGCACCATATAATGGGAAAAAGAATATAGATGGGAGAAATCATCACTCTACACCCTACAAAGCCAGTAGCCAACAAGGGGAAAGTGCAGCAAGAGAAACAAACAGGGCTGCCTTTAACGAAGAGAAATGGCTAAGGAGGTGGAGAATGCTGAGGAACAGAAAGCAAGATCCTCGGGGGAAAGATGCATGCATCTGTTCTCTTGTCCTCCCTCTAGGAGAGAACACTGAACCATTATATTGCATTCCCATACATCGACCACTCCTGCCTAAAGCAGTGAAAACAATTTCTGAGCTTTCCAGATACGAACTCTTTGAAAAATGAAATAATCATAGCTTTTTCCTAAATTCGTAAAAAGCAAAAACAGCAGTTTACATCTTTCCCACACTGACCCTTCCTTGAAGACCCCTTCATGAAGCCTTCCCCACATCGCCACCCAGCGTTGACCATGCCCTTCTCTTACCACACAAGGTCCTCACATCCTGACCCTTTAGGAAATACGACTGAGGTTGACCATCTCCCCAACTTGACTGCAAGCTCGACAACAAGAATCCTGACTTTTCCTTCTCCTGTATCTTCTTCTGTATCTCAGCCCCCAACACGCAGCCCAGGAGGTACTTGAGAAATACCAACACTGTCACTCAACCTAAATGGAAATGTACTTATTATTTAGTGAAAATGTGAAAATTCCCTTTCTTTCCTTTAGAAATTTCCATTTTCCTTTATTTCCTCTATCCTTTTTTCTAGCAAACTTGGTCCTTCCCAAAAAACCCTTTTTGCAAGGGAGGGCGGGGCCGTAACCACTCAGCAAGCCCACTCCCCTCACACACACAGAGCAGAGTCTTGGTTTGTGGTTAGGAGAGTTGGCGTTGTTTCTTCCACCTTTGAAGGTGTTAGGATTTAAACTGAAACCACTGCCTTTGCAAGATCATCTTGTTCCTGCCTGCATGAATCTCCAATGGCCCTTTTGCATTTACATCCCGAAAATGTCTGAAGGTTGTCTTGCTTAATCCCTTCACTGCACCCCAGCCCTTAATGTAATGCCCACTTTTTTTTTTTACCCTGATAAGTCCTCTCCTGGATCATCAGCCTCCTTCACAAGTTAAGGACATGCCTCAGTGCTGCCTACTTATAAGAAAATATGAGCTTCTATACCAGGCATGATTTGTGATGCCACTGTAATTTCCCCATTAAGTCTAGAGCTTAGCAGCCCTCTCTCCTACACATTCTGCTCTTTTTCTACCCCTTCCCAGTCTTGCCTGCCCCTTTACTCTCTCCCCGCCCCCAAGAAATGAACTGGTTTACCTAGCAGGTTTCATCTTGCTTCGGCCAGCTTATTGTTTCAACGTGACTACGAAGTCCCCTGGCTTGAAAACACAGTTTGTTAATTTCCAGGCATTCACGATGTCTCCCTGTTGAGTTTAGTGTGTAGAGGTGTGCATGTGTATACCTGTGGTAACTAACACTCCTGGGCGTGCAATCTTGCTGGTGACTAAGAAGATGGAATCAAGGTAAATTTGTGTAACTGGAGAATCATAGTTTTTAGAGATGTAAGGGATGCTAGACTTCAATGTTGGCATTTCACAGATTGGAAAACAGAGGCAGAACAAGGTAAAAGGACTTGACCAAGGTCACAGAGCTAATCAGTAGAAGAACGGGGGCCACCACTCAGAGCTGTCCTATCCCAGTCCATCAGGGCCCTTCCACTCAGATGCGTCCCTCCTCAGGGGTTCATATATGTGAGTGAGAACTCAGGATGCCCACGTGCAACCAAAGTGCATCACAGACCTGTGAATATGTATGTGCCAACAAGATGGGGACAGTGCCGTGCATGTAGCTTACAAAGTAGGCAGTATGCAGTAAAATCAGACTGAAACGGCTATAATGAGGTTCAGTTCGAATCCAAAGAGACCACACTTCACATCCTGCAGATGCTGCCCATTCCCCACCCCCTGTAGATCATTTGAAAAAAAAAAAAAATGTATTTCCAAAAGCACCTTGTTGAGATTTTCATGATTTTCCCTCAGTTCGATCAATACACAGTCATCCCTTAACGCCATGAAAATAGCTTTTCACACATCCATGCACACACCGTCACACACACACACACACACACACACACACACACACACACGTAAAACATTGGCAGCAGGTACTTTTAATTTGCTGGAAAATATTTCTAAGAAGTCAAACAGCTCCAGCCCAATGAGAGTGCCCTCCGATTGGCTAGCCAGACCAGTTGAAGGACCTGATTGGTCCCTGATCCTAAGGACCGATAAGAACGGCTATAAAATCCCTGGGTGCAGCTCTTGGGCCCCCAGTTTGCAAAAGCCAGAGGTGCAAGAAGCAGCCACTGCAGCAGCAGCAGCAGCAGCAGTAGCAGCAGCAGCAGCAGCCAACAACAGCAACAACAGCAGCAGCAGCAGCCACAGCAGCAGCAAAAGCGTCAGCAGGAACAGCATCAGCAGCAACAAAAAATCCTCATCAAATCCTCACCTAGGCTTTCAGTGTATCCAGATCCACATCTTCACGCAAGCCGGGAGAGGGAAAGAGGAAAGGGGGGGAGGAAAAAAAAAAACCCAACAACTTAGCGGAAACTTCTCAGAGAATGCTCCAAAACTCAGCAGTGCTTCTGGTGCTGGTGATCAGTGCTTCTGCAACCCATGAGGCGGAGCAGAATGATTCTGTGAGCCCCAGGAAATCCCGGGTGGCAGCTCAGAACTCAGGTAAGCGGCAAACCCAGGACCGGTTTCTCCCCCAAAGAGCTGTCCTCATTTGCCTCTCGCTTTTGCAACTGTGTCTGTGACGGCTGATCTTGATAATAAATGTGCTTCATGCCTGATGGCAATAAACTGCCAGTGTAATCCAATAGCCTTAGGAAGTGGAGCTCCTTTGTTTAATAAATTGCATGCAACTAACGAAGAAGCCGGGCGCTCTGCTGAGGGTATTTCATTGCATAAGCCTACTAGCCTGATTGCCTGAAATCTGGCACGTACCCTCTTGGGGGAGGGGGGGAGGGGGCGGGGGAAAGGCCTGAATGTTGGCATGCTTCAAAGCACTCTCTATACTTTCCAGAAGCTGAAGCCGATCTTAAGGTGAGACACGGTTTGTCTGATGCTGTCCCCCTTTCTTCACCCTTAAGTCCCCATAACTGGACTTCCCTGCCCCTTCAGAGAACACACAGAAAGCTCCCTCTGCAGACAGATTTACCGAACCATAGCCCTCAAGGCTGACAAATCCCGGGCAGATGCAGAGAAAACCCTACACATCCCACCCCTGACACTGCTCCTTCTCTTCCTCCCGGCTTTCTCGCGCCTTCATTCAGCTGCCCGTGCAGTGCAGCCCGTGGCTAGAGGGCCCCCTTGAAAAAGAGTATTTGTGAAATGTAGCAGCTGTTTCTTCAAGGGGAAGGTCTCGCTCTCGTTCTGACTCCCAGAGCAGTTAATTGTGTATTATCTTGGTCTCTAAAGGAAAAGAGTCCTTAGGAAGCCGGTATTAACACCTCTGCCTTTTGACTTCACTTGTCCAGCTTGCCCCTCTGACATTACTGCCCCCACTCCCCTGACTGTCAGCAAAGATGGGATCGCAGGTGTCCAAATGCTGCAGACAAGGCTCCTCTCCGAAGAGCACAGGTCCCTGCCCAGAGGAGGGCTTTGCTTCACTTCCTTTTGTACTTAGTTGCTATAGAAATGCAGTGATTCACAATTCGAGCTTGCCTAAAACAATAGCAACCCTAATGCATATTAAAACTGCTTAAAGCAAAGTTATAATTTGAACCCGTGGAAATATATAATTAGGGAAATGACTTGTAACATCCCAGAGGCTGCGGGTGGTGGGAGGGGGAGGGGAAGCCTAACCGAACCAGGCTTTTGATCTCAGAGGAGAATCCTATGGTATGAAGGCTGCAGATCATTTCTTGCCGAGCTGCTTGCCAGAACACCCCCCCCCCTTTCTGTAGGAGAGAAATTACTTTTATGGGAGATCTTATCCAGAATGTAGAAAGCCTCATGCAAGTTCTTTGCGGTTTTCTTCCAGTCTTGCACAAGGGGTGCCTTGGCCTTGTTATTCCACACCTGTGTTTCTTTTAAAAAAAAAAGAAGGAGAAATGGCTTTTAATATGAGAGAGATTATGCATACCTCTAAGCACTGTCCTATGGTGGGGGCTGGGGTGAAACATGAACGGACCAGATTCCTTTCTGCCAATATGAAGGTAAGTTAGCAGCCCTAAATTGGAAGGGTCTCCAGGCGCACTCCTTGGCAAATGGTCCTCTGCCATTTAGACTAAAATTCCATTCTTATTACTCCGGAGTGTGTTTTCAGAAGCCAAATGGACTCCCTGGCCCTTCTACTTCCTAAACCTGACCACCAGCCATTGCCTCCTGCCTTCCCGGGCTTTCGGGCTCTAAGTGATACCCTCTGATGCTGGAGAGCTGTTTCAAGCACTGTGCATTCCACAGACTCTCACCTTACTCCTCCGGCCACCCAAATTGAATGTGATGGTGAGACCAACAGGGAAAGCTCCTGCCCTCTCCTTCCACGTGCAGGAGGGATCTGCCTGGCCTGCCCCCGACCCCACCCCCTCTGAACGGGTCTATCTACTGGCCCCCTCGCAGACGTCCGAAGAGAAGTTCTTCTGACCCCTTGTCCTTGAATGGCGCCCCCTCGACCCTTCCGAATCACCCTCACTGCTTGACCCAGATTGGATGGATTTGTCTCTTTCAGCTGAAGTGGTTCGCTGCCTCAACAGTGCTCTGCAGGTTGGCTGCGGGGCTTTTGCCTGCTTGGAGAACTCCACCTGTGATACAGATGGGATGTACGACATCTGTAAATCCTTCTTGTACAGCGCTGCTAAATTTGACACTCAGGTAAGCAGACCTTGACCCCTGCCTTCCACTGGCTGCTTGTCGTTAACAGTGTGCTAGACTATTGTTCTTAGGAACTAGTCTTGTAGGGAAGCAGCTGTGCTTCTCAGCCTCCTCAACCGAAATCCCCAGCTCCAGCGTGTGCATGCACACTCCCGCGTGTGCGCGTGCACGTGTGCACGCACATGCACACACACACACACACACACACACACTTTTGGCCAGGAAGCCGGTTCTGTACGAGACGCTCCCCACCCTCTAATGCACGATTGTCACACACTGACACAGGTTATCTTATAAGGGAGGGGTGATGACCAGAAAATCCTCGCCTCTTCAAGAGGAAATAAAAATGTTCTTCCAACAAGGAAGTTCTCACTGTAGGACCCAGCATCCTGGCTTGTGAGTTGAGTTATCAAGTCTCGATCCCAAGACAAAACCGCATCATGGCTACGTTCAAGCTGCAGGGTGGCTGATTGTGGGTCTGTCTCTTTCTTTCTCCTGTCTCGTTATTTCTACGGAGCTCAATTCTGAAGGTAGTCTATGAGAGTAGGGACATTTTTTTTTTTTTAATCCTGGTCGCGGCATGCGAAGACATACAGACGGCCAGGGGACCGCGCCAAGGCAAGCCCCCTAAATTTCCACATATTGTATGCCCCGTCCTCTCTGGGCAGCTCGAGCTAAAGCTTCTCCTCCTACCCCTTGCCTGGCAGGGAAAAGCATTTGTCAAAGAGAGCTTAAAGTGCATCGCCAATGGGGTCACCTCCAAGGTCTTCCTCGCCATTCGGAGATGCTCCACTTTCCAGAGGATGATTGCTGAGGTGCAAGAGGAGTGCTACAGCAAGCTGAATGTGTGCAGCGTCGCCAAGCGGAACCCCGAAGCCATCACCGAGGTGGTCCAGCTCCCCAATCACTTCTCCAACAGGTACAGAATGAGTCCGCTTTTTTGCGCTGGGGAGGGAGGGGGGGCAGGGCGGTGGCAGAGCCAGACACAGAAGGGGGTTAATTGCCACAGTCATGATCTTATTTTAGCTTGCAGCCTTCCCAGCTTTTGCAGGGAAAATATGTTTGTGATTGGTTGTGACAGCTTAAGCAGCCTGGATTTTTTTTTTCCTCACTGTTATAGGAAAAGTCTTTCCATGCAGCTAATAGAAAGCTCCATCTGTGGCATCCCTGAGTGCATTTTCATTGTCAGTTTCTCACAATAAGCCTGAAGGGCATTGTGAAGTTTATGGACACAAGCTTTTGAGATATCACGTTTGGCTGAAATTACGACTATGCACGGTACAGTTGGCCATTATAAAAACCCCGGTCAAATGTCATAATGCAGACTTTTAAAAAAATTTTTTTAATGTTTATTTTTGAGAGACAGAGAGAGACAGAGCACGAGCAAGGCAGGGGCAGAGAGAGGGAGGCACAGAGTCCGAAGCCGGCTCTGGGCTCTGAGCTGTCAGCACAGAGCCTGATGTGGGGTTCGAACTCACAAACCACGAGACCATGACCTGAGCTGAAATCAGACGCTTCACTGACTGAGCCACCCAGGCGCCCTTTTTTCAAAAATTTTTTTAATGTTTATTTGTTTTTGAGAGACAGAGAGCATAATGCAGACTTTTAAATCTGCATGTGTTCTGAGCAGTCCCAAGCCCAAGCACATATTCCAGTAGGTAGCCCAGAATAAGCCAGGTCACTTCACTGGGGACTCAGATTTCCTTTGTGAAAAGTGAGATGGCTGGACTAGATGATTCCCCCTCCCAGGCCCATGTTAGTTCTTTCTCTAGTCCAGAATTTCCTGGAACGATGTTTCTGGCGAGTGCTCATATTCTCATCTGAGTATTCTAACATGACCCAAAACCCCGGAAGTAATCATAGCTGAGCACCGGCCTTTCGGTGCTGCCGACTCACTGTCTTTACCAGCCGGGAGTGGACACCCAAGACACGAGAGGGCTGACATGCTCATTCCACGACCTACAAAGTTGCCCAGCAAGACCTGGGCTTCCCCAACTGCGATCAAGTTAGGAGAGGTGCCGGTGGGGCTGGCATGGAGGTATGGCAGGGACAGTGAGGCTGGGACGCGTTGAGCTGTGATGCCACACGGCCTGAAACTCGCCGCCTAGTCCTGAAGCACTATGATCCTTTGACTCCCCAGCCAAATCTGCACACACTGACAAAGATCAGTCCTATTACCTATTGCCCGGACCACCGGAGAGCTAACATGAGCCTCCCTGCTTAATCTCCTAGCCAGGTTCTGTCCCTTCTTCGGGTAGCACCAACAGCCTGCTCCTCCAGGGGCTTACCAGTGATTTAGTCACACACATGTATGCAAGTAGAAGACGGGAAAGGTAGGTCTTCCTTAGGGAACTGCTAAAGGCCCCTGACATTAAAACTCTGTAAAATTTCTGATTCACACTGAAGCACACGGTAAAGGCTCTCCAGAACCTCATGTCAACTTATAAAATGATTTGTTCGGTACTGAGAAGCGACCGTGTCCTTGGGTCCTAGCTGATTTCCTCAGAGCAAGAAAATCAAATCCCACATTTATCTCAAATGGCCTATCTCTTTATATTGATCTTGGTCTTAAAATTCTCCCCAAAAGATTCTTGTGACATCTGAAGAGAAGAAGGAAAAAATAAAATAAAAGCGCTGGCTAATTGTTGGAGTCTCCCTTCAGCACAAAGGAAAAAAAAAAAAGAAAAGAAAAGAATTTTTAGTAGACAGGGGCTAAGGACAAAGTATGTGTTTGTGGGGCAGCTGGCGGGGGCAGGGGTATGTTGGCAAAGCCACCGTTGTAAGTCTAGACCGTTAAGGATCCTGTGACAATTTGTGACTTACAATATGGCATGTGACCAACTTTGAGGCGATGCGAACCTCTCGATTTCAACTGAGGTCATATCTTCCATTTATAAAGGGAGAGGTCGTATAGAAAGGATAATATAGACTCTGGACTGGTGATCCTAAATATCTAAGAAGCGACTAGGAATAGGAGTTTTTAATCAGGCCACTATTGCTTTCAATGGGCTTTCTTTTACACCACTTCTATCAGATGGCCACAGGAGCCTGGTCATGTCCCTTTTTCATCTCGGGAAATCACGCTTATTCGGACAGTGGGGGAAAGTGGCCATCTCTTGAAGACCAGAATCTTCATGCAGCCCTTTCTCCCATTATTTCACTTCAACTGGTTAATATTATTCCTGCTCCGAACTGTAGAGATTTCCGGTTCCATGCTGGGCTTGGTTTGCTCTATTTAAGCTCCTCACTCTCCTGAAACATCCTGCTTTCCCAGCCTCTGTCCCACCACAGAGACACATTAAGTTGTGCCAGTTGGCACCGAATTGCAAAGGGAAGTAGTTACAGGTTCATTCCACCTTCCTGTGACTTATCTAGCATGAGATTTGGGCCTGGGAGAATCCAAAAGCCTGTGACTGGACCAGGAGCCAGAACAGGGATGTTTTCCACAGGAGAAATGCGCTCAGAAGACAAAGGAGAGTTGGCTGTCCCCCTGGCTGAATTCGCAAACTGCTCTCTTAGCCATGAGGGACACAGGCAAAATTGATCAGGCAAGCTGGGAGGCGTGAGGCTTGGGAAGAAATCAGACCAATCCAGATCCAGGGTGGGAAAACTGACAAAGCTTCCAGCTCTCTAGGGCATGGATAGGGAACAGGAAACAGAAGAATAATATTGATCAAGGGAAACAAAGGACTATTTATAAACCCTCACACAGAACGTTCCTAGGCAGTATGTGTGTATTTGGGTAAAGCATGGCTGAAACAGTAGCTATGGAGAATATCTGATGTTATTCTTTACCAAGAAAAAAAAAAAAA